GGAATAGTCTGCTCGTGGTAGGAAGCAGTAGAAACGGAGAAGGACGCAATCTTTCGACCTTGCCTGAAAACTAAAGATAAATATAATGACAATATCTGCCTGTGCCGCGAACATAAGAGACTGTTCCTTTACCTGTAAGGAGTTCATACTTGTTCTGTATTGTTAAACATTTTGACTGCGACTCCCAAAAATAGCCCGCAGTTTGCCATATTGCGGGTACCACATATGGCGCACGTCGCAGTCAAAGTGTTAATGTAAAATTTCCCCATTTAGATAGAATTACGTTGCTTGTAAACAAATAGGGGTCCAAAGGGATACACCCATATTTCGCTCAAATAAACTGGGTTGCGTAACATGTGGATATCGAAGTGTTTACAAACACGAAAGATGTAGCAGAAAGCAAGCATAATTTATCTGCAATGCAGTCTATGCATCCAAGGTTTCACTATAAGAACCAACGAGTCTGTACGTGCCCATTGAAATCTAGATGAAAAAAAGACATTGGGATCGTTTGTTTTCTACTCCCCATTCTTTGGCAATAGATGTATATCCGCAGTTGGTTCTATCGTTTTATAATTTTAATTGTCGCCTGTTACTTTAGACCACCTCATTATAAAATCCCCCAAATTAGTTGCATTTTACACAGCCCTGTCCAACTCTGGTCCCTGCATTAAATTAAATGGTAAGTGAGATATAAAACATTTGGAAGGGCAACTACCCAATTATGAGAAGAGGAATATTAGAGGCATTACGCGAAACAGAACTGGTTCGAGATTCCTCGTAGGGTCTACCGATGATGACCTTTATAAAAAAAGCATACTTGCATGTGCTCAGCAGCCCGATTTATATCCCCTTTTCTATTGATGTTTTGTGCGCTATCATATCTTTCGTAATCTTAGGTTTGCATAAGATCGACAGCAGGGGATCCCAGGCCACCATAGTTAGCGCAAATCGAGTTCCTATTCCTGACTGGGAATTGTAATTTGCACTCCCTTCCCTTCGTTTCGGGTCGGAAAGTCTACGTGTTTACTTCCTTATCTAGCGTAAGGGTGCATCCAGTAAACGGATTCGTGAATCCGCATGTTTGGATTTTGGAATTTATATTTGTTAGCGCCAGGATGGCACCATCTATACAAACTTAGTTACGTAAAAAAATTATGGCGCTGTGCGCAGATAAAACTTACAAATTTGAAATACTTTCAGATGCAATTGTCCTTTTGGGGCAATATTTGGCGATTTTTTGCAATTACTGGTAAACTAGAAAATAGGCAGTTAAAAAAACTACCACACTGAAAATGGACAGCCTACCTTCCGTCGTCTAAGTAACGAACGGCCGCTTGTTTTAACCACACTTACTAACGTAGACGAGTAGTTCCATGCTAACCTAAAGGATCCGTTAGGATAAATCCAATGTGGGATACGATGTAATCCAGCCAGATAATAGACGATAGAAAGTATCACAATGGTTATAAGATAGTTGATAGTATAAGGCACGAAAGGCCAGGGTGTTATGGACAATTTAATGAAGTGTTGAATGAATAGAATATAAGAAATGAGTAAGAGACTCCCAGACAAGTGCACTCCAGCCATGAGTGA